TGCCATGGTGTGTGGTGAACAGTTCGCATCGCGCGATATTGTTTTTCAAACCCATGATAACACATTGATCAGGGTGTCCGACACACACAAGTTTTATGACACACTACAATACCCACTTATGTTTAGCAATGAGCAAGAGGGGTACCGTTTTCAAATTTCACAAGAATTTGAAAATGGTACTCCTGAGCTAGCCCCTGTAAGAGTCTCTTAGACATAAGGGACCAGGATTGACAAAAACTAATTTGACGCGGGCGAAGCCGCGGGCGGAAGCTAGTAGATAATAAACTTGATATTTGGTGGTTAAACCAAAAGTTTTATTGATTTCATTATACCTACTGATGTACCAGAGTTCGCTAATCGCTCCTATCATGAATAAGTTTAAGTTTGCCTCAAGCCAGAAAATATTGTAAAGATTTATTGATTACAATAGTTTAAAACAGCATTGGCCAACACGTGAGATAAGAGAAGGAAAGTCTATCTCAAATAATCTCAATGACGAAAGAAAATACAACTAAATAAATCACAAATAAAAACAACTAGGTAGGTACCTAAATACTTAACTATTCAGTTGTTATGCAATTCAACACAATTTGTAGGAATAATCTAACTAACGTAACCTAACCTTTTTTGAGGGGGTAAGTAAAACATTTTTTTTCACTCAGAGTGCCAGTATTATTGTCTACCCGCTTTCTTCTCCTGCTTCAAGCCGGAGCCTTAGGTACTCTTCTGCACGAGGTACCCACTGCCTCGTTCCCCGTTTAAATACCGTATATAAATATGGAGGTATGTACAAATTTCCGTGACTAGGTACTTATAGCCACGGCTTTAGGATGTAAGTTCGTATCTTAGTTCAAGGTTCGCCTATGTGTTTAAGCAAATTAGGTACCTATACGACCAATAAAGTAAACACTTAGCATTAGCAGTCCCATTCCATCAATTTATACAGCCTACAAAAATATGTGATACAAAAACATATAGGTACCGTCTATAGTAGTCTATACCGATTATAACAAAGGTAAAATTTGTAAGTTTAGGGGGTTAGTTAGGGGGTTTGTTTAGGGGGTAATCTTTAGAACCGCTGGTTGGATTTCCAAAATTCTTTCACTGATAGATAGCTACAATATTCCTGAGTGCTATAGGCTATAAAAGATCACGCTACGATTAAATGCAGCCGAGCTGCGGGCGCGAAACCGCGCGAGAGTAGCTAGTATATTCATAAAAAGAAACGTGCTAAATTTTCGACGTTTAAATCAACGTTGTGAACCACACAGAATATGACCTTTAGTAGCCTTTAGTGTATTTTTTATTTAATTATAACATACCACGCCAAATATCATTTTATTGACAAAAAATATCACGTAAATGGTTTGAATAGACAGACCTAGAATCGCGATGTCTGCTTTTTTATAAAAGTCATTACCTACAAGAGAATAATTACTAAATTGCCTTGGTGCTTGTAAAAAGACCATGAAACAGTTTTTTGTCAAAATATAAAGAAAACAAAAAATATATAAAACATTTGTGTTATTTGTTGTAAGTAGGTACTTACTTTATCCATGTTTTAATGTTTTTGTGTTTATGGTCTATTTTTCACGAGCTTCAGCAGCTTTACGGATATTAGGACCATTGGTTCTGAAATGAACCTTGACCCCAAAACAAATCCGGGTTGCGGGTTAAGCGCAATGAGTCACCGGAAGGAACGGCGGGTTTTTTAGTCAGTAAGAGGGTCACACTCTCTCTCGCCTAGCCCTGGGCGGGAGAAGTCATTTGATTGACTTGATTTTCCCCTGACAAAAAAAAACCCAAAATAAATAAAGTTTTTATTACCTACTATTTAAAAATAAAATAAAAATATCGGAAGAAGGAAGCATAAACAAAACGCGGAAATTAAGTACCTATTTATTATTTTAAGACTATTTTTAAGCTAATTTAATTCAATACACTTTAGCTTAACAATTTTATTCTCTTAATTTTTAATATTCGAAGTTTATTGACATTTTTTTTCAATTAAACCTTGAACACGACTCACAAGTAAAATTTTGAGCTGAATTACAAAGAGAGTTATCCGGTTTGAAAATAATATAATACCTATAGGTACCTACTTAACATAAACATGTTTAGTTTTCTTTTGTAAGTATATTAGGAATTTATTTTCAGACTCTTACTGACTAAACCCCCCATTCCTTCTCCTGCTCTAGACCGAGGTCGTGGTCCTAACCCGCAACACCGGTGGATGTTAGTGGATGTGATCACAAAAACGAATTTGACTTGACCTGCGGACATCGCAAATTAGTTTTATTCAAAACTAGCTGCCCTTCTCTGCTTCCCACAGGTCTCAAACTATCTTCACTATTTTCCAGCTAACCCTTCAAGTTTTCTATTTTCTTTTTAAGAACCTTCTCCTGACAACATCAAAAAAGAATTGGTAAAAATTGTCCATGCGTCGTGGAGTTATGCGCTTACCAACACATTTTGTGATTCATTTTTATATATACCTTTAGATTTCTTTTAAACTTGTCTAAAAATAGTAGCTGTATAAAAAGTCGTCCAGCAGCAGCAGCAGCAGCGTTTTTGAATTTATCGTGAGACATACGCCGCGGGGAGTTTCATTTTATTAAGTACATGTCAGGATCTATTACCGTACCTAATAGTAGAGGACACCATGACCTAAGCAATAACAGAAGTAAAGATTATTTTCTAAAAAATCATTATATAGAAGTCATAGAGTTGAGTATTGCACGTAAGTAAGTACCTATTCGTCTGATTTTTTCAATACATATACTACTTATGTTTTCCGTTACAACTTGTATTATACCTTATAAATAATTAACCATGTTAGTTTTTTTATGACATTTATCTTTGTGTAAGTAGGTATGTAGTTTGTTGGAAGTTTTTTACGTGGCAACATTTATTTTTAAGATGTACAAAACCAGTTTTATTGTTCCTAGAATCTTTTAGGAAACCGGGTCTCTAACACATAAAAGTGTAATCAATTAGGTATAATACAATTTTAATCATTAATTAGCAAAGATGGAAATAGTAAATTGTTATCTTGATTTGAATTATGATTGATTTGATAATTTCTCACACAGGTATGATATCTCATAAAATATTATCTAAAGAATGTGTTGGTAAGCTTGTAAAACATGCCTATATTTTTAACCGACTTCTAAAAAGGAGGATGGTTCTCAATTCGACCGTATATATGCTTTTTATTTAATAGAAACGATGGAGTTACTTGCTCTTCTCAAATCGAATCCAAACTGGAAACGAGCACCTAACTTTGCTGACCTAACTAACTAACCTGGGCGTCAAGTCTGCTTTTTTAATAACCATTGTCATTCCATCACGACTCCATTGTCATTTTGCAAAAACTTCGTAATCTAGGTACTACAGTAGTACCAAATTATCTGTAAAATGGAGAAAATAGGCACTACGGCCGCCATGTTGAAATGTCATTCGATTGACAGTGTGTACTACAATCGGCCACCCTGTGACTTATAATACGATATTTCTACATTTTCGGCGTTTAATCTTCCAAAAGCAATTAAAAGTGAAACGCGAAGCAGTATTCTTTACGTCAAATCCTTTTCAAAACAAACTTTTATAAACAAACGAATTTCTTCGGCTACAGGTGAGTGTTGTCCTACTGTGTGTTCGTAAATTACCCGATATTTTTTCATTGATTACTTTTAAATGTGAGCTTGGCTTGGCTTGGCTTGTCTTCGGCTTAGTGTAAATTCCGACATTCCTTCCTTTCCGAGTTCTTCTTACGCCACACGATTAGCACGCAAGCCGCTTAAACGATAGTAACTAATAGTCACAATTATCATTTAGTTACATACTAAGAGTGTAACTTAATATCTATGTATTGTTCAGGACTAGATCTGTAACAAAGTAAAATTATTTGAATGATTGATTAAAGCAATGTTTTTATTACTGGAATATTGAGGTGGGTGTGCATTACTTACCTAGTATTTTAATTTATGCATTTCTCCACATTCTGTCAACAAGAGCCTGGTACAGTGCCTGACCTTCAAGAAGATCCTGGCTCATTCATCAACGGTCTTGAAAATTGGGTGCTGAATAATGATTGTTCTCCTTAAATTATAGGACTAATTTGTTTTTTTTGTATTTTCATTAAAATATATTTACTATAATTTATCCATAGAAATACAAAATTATATTCTTCAATAAATTGTGATAAATAAATCTTTATGTTCTATTATTTTAAACGAAACTTTGTTGAATATAATGTGAATTAAGTTAAGAATACTGACTAAAGCTTTAGTTAGTAAGAGTCTGACACTCTCTCGCCTTACCCTAGGCGGGAGAAGTTATTTGATGATTTTCCTATGACAAAAAAGTTATAAATCTACTTACCAACTAACACGTAAGTACCTATCCGAATTGTTATCATGTCAAGAATTTTTCTTCCCTATAGGACGGTAAAGGTGAAGACTTACAAGTGCGATTCCTTTTGGGGATAAGGGTATCTAGATTTATGAATTATGGGAGCGGAAGAATTGCCTCGGCAACCTCACTCAAACGACAAAACAACGCTGTAGTTGTTTCACGCCAGTTTTCTGTGATATCACGGTAAGTATCACTCGTTCCTAAGCCTGGCTCTTCCACACTCAAAATACCTTTTGTAGTATATGATTAGTATTGATTTCTGCAATAGTAACGACTGATTACTATTGCAGAAATAGTAATCAGTCGTTACTATTTATAATGATACTGATATTAATATAAACATTTACAAATTTTCCTCCGTATTATTGCGAAATTTCGAAAGCCTGAACCCGACTAGACCATTCAATAGTAAATTCTACACAAAAACAATCGATCTTATTGGCTTCCTTAACAAGGTTCATTAATCAATAGCAACATTTAATGATGAATTTATTATTAAAACACAATGATGCTAATATTTGTCCTTGAGGTCAGATCAGGAAGTTTATATATAACAAGAGTTGTGATTATACAGCGATTTGTGTCGTGACCGAGCTTTTGAACGGACTGTTTAAGATAAATATTAAGAAGCGGTTCTACAATGAGTGCCATTTTAAATGCTTTTATTTTATTAACGCAAGTCACGGTTATATTTTCAGCGTGTAAGTGTTCTTTTTATAATATTTACTTATTTTTATTAATGTTTAAATTAAAATAAGCATTTTCGGGATTTGATAAAAATTTACTATGCATGACAGAAAAATAATGTTTATTGATTAGATAAATTTAATAGCTGTAGGAATTTTGTGTTTTAAAAATGCAATTAATTTGTCAACGTCTATGTTTCACTATTAGGTATACGCGCATCTAAGTTTAAATTCGAATTAAAACAAATGTTTCAAATTTATCTTTTGAATAATTCATTTAATTATTATTGATAAGACTACCCGTATTACTAATCAGATTATTCGTAGATACGAAATTATAATGATTTCCGTAGTGTTTGCAAAGTGTGTGTATATCATTTATTATGAAATTAGATTAAACATTTATGTCCATAAAATACATTCCTCCTTAATAGTACCTATTACAATCATCTTGTATGCTTTATTATAATAAGAAGCATGTACATGATGCAGTAGTTTAAAAATAAATTGTCAAAGAAAAGTTACACAGATACCCTACATTTGCAGATATTTAAAACCAGCATTTTTTATTGCATCGATTTTTTTTTACTAACTATAAGGATTTATTATTAATAAATATATTTATTATTCAATTTATTAAAATTATATAGATAGGTAGGTAATATTTCTTATTACAATTAATAAAAGCTACTTCATTCAAGAGTTAAAACAGACAACTAGTTACGATGCAAAAAAATTATCCGCATCGATTTAAAACGATTGTAGACACAAAAAATATTTGTAGAAACCTTTCTTATGAGTTGGGTGTAATCGATTTGATATTAACAGATAATAATACAAACAAAAGCAATTACTTTCTAGCTTTAGGTATAAATATAGCGGTTATATATAAAACATATTATGACGAGTAATTGAAATCTTCAAGCTACTGTGGGTTATAATCATAATTATTAAATAACATCATGTAGCGTTGACCATAAGGTCAATGATGCAGTGAATAGACATTATAATGATTGTCTTTAAACATTTACGCAATAAGCCTTTAAACAAGGAATTACATTTATTATTGTAAAACTGAAGGTGAAGGCAATCCTTTACTTGAATGCTAAAAAGGTTTTATCACGGTAATTTTATCTATACTAATATTATAAAGAGGTAAAATTTGTAAGTTTGTATGAAGGGGGTAATCTTTGGAACCGCTAGTCGGATTGCCAAAATTCTTTCACTGATAGATAGCTACAATGTTCCTGAGTGCTGTAGGCTATAAAACATCACGGTACGATAAAATGAAACCGCGCGAGAGTAGCTAGTATAAATATAAAGTCTATCAGTGAAATAATTTTGGAAATCCGACCAGCAATTCCAAAGTTTACACCCTACACAAACTTACTTACCTCTTTATAATATTAGTATAGATAATGTTAGCAACATAATTATTATTGTTCCACATATCAATTAATTTTGGACAACTATGATAAAACACATCACGGTACAATAAAACGGAGCTGAGCAGCGGGTGAAACCGCGCGAGAGTGGCTAGTCATGCGACAGTCAACGCGATGTCGGGGTGCAGTCGGGGTGCAGGTAGTCAAGGTTGTACCGCGCAGTGACGAGCGGACATGCTACTCTGTGGTTATTTAACAATAAATGCTCGTTTTTTTTAAACCAGTTCAAGAAGATTTTTTATATGTATGACGAGTAAGAAATATTGAACTGTTTTTGGTTGTATGAATTCGTAAAGTTTTTATCTCGGTATTAATTACAACAATAGTAACAGCTCATTATTCAAAAGCAGAGAAAGAATTTGTGATTTAAAACATTTGTAGTCAGCTGTTCAGCTCTGCATTAGTTACCAAAGAATTTTTGTTTCGAGTAATGGGAGCCAGTTGTAATAAACAGGTTCTTTAATAAACCTTTAAAATTGCTATTTCCAACTTGCTTATTAAACGCAGGACTTTTCCCTTTCTCGGTACTGTTGATGATTACAATGTCTCCAACCATAGATGATAAAATATAGTCTGGCTTTCTATCATCTTTTAAAATTGAAAAATATGGTATTTAGACTTTATGTATTTTAATTTTCGCGCGACATATTAGTTGAAAAAATATAGGAATCGGCTTACTCACGTGTCTTTCGAGTTAACTAGACCAGTTTCAAGACAAGTTAGGGGTTCATATTCTCGAGTGGAGGCCACGTACCGGCAAGCGCAGCGTAGCATCCCGCAAGGTGGACAGATGACCTGATTAAGGTCACAGGAAGCCGCTGGATGAAGGTCGCTTCCAACCAGCCTATCTGGATGTCGATGGGGGAGGCCACGATAGGACGTCCACTGCTGAACATATCAGCAGTGGACGTCCTATGGCTGATATGATGATGATGATAGGGGTTTATATTAATGAGCAGCGTAATTTGGCCAGTGTGTGTGTCGTGTGCTTTATGGCTCATTAATTTAAGCTCTAGCGTAGCCTGAAGCTAGTTGTCTTATCTCACGTAAGAACTAGCAGTTTTACTTGAGTAATCCCATAAATTTATTCTATTAACTGGAAAGGATATACATATGACAACTAAGAAAAAATCCCGGTCATAACTAGTCTGTATGTTCTAAGTAAGGTTAGTGTTGTTTAGTGTTGACTCTTTACTTGATACATGATCAGGGAGATACATAGCCATACCCACGTCAATAAGCTGTATGAACAATAGGTATGTAAGTTAGACAGTTTACGGTCTGTTAAAGATAAGTTTGTAGTTTTGAATCTTCGTAACTTTCTAACGAACTTTTGGCACCAGCTTCAATAAAGGAATGGCCGACAGACAGTCATTTTTTAATTTTTCGTATTTGATTATTTTTATTTTGGTTGACGAACATAGTTATATGTTGATCTATTTACAAACTAGCGGTCCGTCCCTGCTTCGCTCGGGTGACTAACTACCTCGATATCAATATCATTTAATTTTGTTTTGTTATCTAACCACCACGTCATCGAACATTCGATATCGTTGCTATATCCCAATACTATCATCTACTTTTTTAAAAAATTACCGGAGATTGGGGAGCGGAAGGATGCCCAATACTTCACATCCCCAATCTCCACTATCCCTAAATCTCCAACGACTAATGCCGGCTTTGCGGTATTAGGGGTTAATCTGATTAAGGATTGAAGATGTTTTGGGGTGAGGATTGGGCCTCCGGTAACCGGGATACACAACGCTGTGGTTGTCAAGTTTCAAAATAAGTAGTATCAATATAATAAAAGAAAATACAATCAATATTTGCTATTCCAATGGGACTTCAAGTGTTAGATTCCACTTACATTAAAAGTCTTCTATATAACCCTCCAGTCCCAAAAATAAAACGCAGATTACAAAAATAGAACTTATTTGATTAAAACAAATATTAAGTATACATGTATGTATATAAATATTTATTCACACGGGACAATACATATATTTGGAATAGCGAATGTTAAGATGTCATACAATTTAATGAAACATTTCAAGTTAACTCACGTACGAACATCAAACATTTTAATATATATGTAGGCAATACTAGTTCGTAAACTGCGTCTACTCGACGTATACGAAGTTAGCCGATTAGCTGCGCAGTACACAATTTTGTTCCTAAAAGATCCATTGCGCAGACAAACGGCTAACTTCAGACTCGCCAAGATACGGCGGCCGTACGGTAAATTTTAAAATTATATCTGAAGTAAGTTAAGTTTAGGTGAGCCATGCCATGAGAATAGGCCGGGTCGATTGTAGTTATACCACGGCCCCACGGACAACCAGCGTGAATAAATCCGTTGTATTTTGACGTGCGAGTAGGATAATCGCAGGGCAAGTCTTCCTTCCCCTTCCCCAATCCCTAATTCCCTTATCTTCAAATCCCTAACAATTATCATTGCACGTAATCTATACTTCTATCCTAATATTATAAAGAGATAAAATTTGTAAGTTTGTATGTAGGGGTAATCTTTGGAACCGCTGTTCGGATTGCCAAAATTCTTTCACTGATAGATAGTTACAATGTTCCTGAGTGCTATAGTCTATAAAACATCACGCTAGGATTAAATGGAGGAAGAAACTGCGCGAGAGTAGCTAGTAGTATATAATCACTCGCCATCCTATACCTACTATAAAAATATAAGTAACTAGCTATTCCCGCGCGGTTTCACTCGCTACTCGGCTCCATTTGATTGCAGCGTGATGTTTTATAGCCTATAGCACTCGGGAACATTGTAGCTATCAATAAGTGAAAGAATTTTGGGAATCTGACCTGTAGTTCCAAAGATTACCCTCTACATTCAAACTTAATAAACTTTACCTCTTTTTAGTATAGATAATAATGGGACAAAACGTATCCTACATAATTATTGCTCTCTAATAAGGAAAATGTATTTACAGGTGAAGAAATTATTCAATTATATACCGTAGTTACTGAGTTAACTCTATGCAAACAAACAATCAAACCTTTAATATTAATATTAGTAGGTATATGTAGGTATGGAGGCATGTACTCGTGTATATGCATATTTTCTGTTTGTTTTTACACGCTTTTTGTCATGGCCGACTAGATGAGGATGCTTGATTGTTTACCTTGTACCTTAAGATGTTTCTAGAGCAAATGATTCCTTGTTTTTTTTAAACGTTGCCCCACATTAGCATAATCTCCTTTGCCGTGAGTGCATTTAAAAATATACAAACCACATACACAAGCCACTTAGGGCCGAAAAAACAATTTGTAGGGATCACACAAAGTGTTGTTCCGTTTGGGAAAATAACCCGCGACACGGTGCACAACAGCCAGTTGCCTTTGTGACTTTTCCTCTTCTTTTTAACACAAAAGGGATTTTCTATTAACTAAGAAACAAAAAGTTTAACTCACGATAAGAAATTCTAGATGTGAAAAAAGATACATTTAAATCAGTATGGAGAACTAAGTATTTTTACACTTACACTCAGTTCTATAGTTTTTAATTAAATCATATTTTATGATTTTTTGTTACTATCAGGTTTTAGTACTATGTTCAACTCTGCACTTAGTTAATTCAAAATTGAATCGTTTTATTGTTGCAATTGCAAAAAAATCTATTTTAGTATTTTTTTCAACATCATTTCACTAAACATCTACATAGTTAAATTATATGAAGACATCGAGGACTAAGCACGAGTATAATTAATAAATTAAACGAACTTACTTGTAAGTGAAGTTCTGTTTTAAATATACGAAGTGCTTAGTCTTCTATACTAGTTTTTTTTCCACCCGCACCCTATGCAAGTAAAGTTATTTTTGCCCCAAAAAATGAAGTTGAAAATATTGATTTTTGATTACAGGATTGCTCTAAAAGAAATGACGTTTGTAAGATAGGGTTAAATACATAATAATTGTCCAGAGTGTGTATCCTAAAAGAAAAACAAACACTATTTGTAACAGAATATTTTTCAAAAAAATGCTTTAAAATGTTTAAAATGTTCTATAAAAGTATGATACACTATTTCACATTTCGATTTGAAACTTAAATCTAAGATATCCTACAAAATCTTAGCAAAACAAAGGATTGTGCTGGACTTTTGCCAATTAAACTAAATAATTCTTCCCCTTGCTGTCTCCAAGTACCGCCAAAAACCGTTCGAATTTTGGTTGCGTTTATAATTTATATTCAATTTAGAAAAAGTTACTTCCATGTTTATTTCGTAAGGTTATGAAACCGATTATTAATATTTTCTTTAAAATAAAAATTGTGTAACTTAACCCAACTAATATTAAAATAAATGGGAAAACGTGTTCGTGTTATTTCAAGCTACAAGAAGCGCTTTTATCTATAAAGTCAGGTAGTAGGTGGCTATTATTTATCTCTGACCATATGGAAAAGCTGAAAATATAGAGCTTCTTTGATAATAAAAAATATTCGCTATGTAGCTCATAAGGGGGACCGAGCTTGGTTGTTCAAGTGATCAATTGCACCGATGAGCGACGAAGAATAGCTAAAACAATCCAATTGATTATTAGTCTCCAATTAATGTTCGTATTTTAAAAATTCATCAAGCCCCAACCGAACGCGAACGTTCGCGCACCAATTTTGTTTGGAATTACCACGATTCAAAAGTATCTTTGATGATTTTTGTGTGTCAACTCACCCCTGAGACAACCATCTCCGTTCTCCGATACTATCTTAGTGAGCCCCAGATAAAACAATGAGAGAAATGCCGCAATCCTGTTATCGTGTGGAGGTTTCTAAGATATGTCGGTACTACTGTTTACATGTTTTGGTTTAGGTTTGGCGTTCCGCCAACATATATTGTCACTATTTCTACTCTGGATTACAATATAGCGTACTAGACCAAGGATATAATAACGTACTGTTTGCACAAAAATATCGCGTAGAGAATACATAAACTTAGCGCTTGTTATAATTTTGAATTTTGTTCGATATTTTTGTATGGGACATATTATTATTTGATATTTATTCCCCCTTTATATATGAGTAAGCGTGAACATATAAAGTAATAGGGAGATACGAGTAAGTTGCCAGGCTGTGCAGGCGAGAATTAGGATTTTGGAGATTTGGGAACTAGGGAGGGGTGGGGGAGAAAAAAAACGGTAAAGCCATTCACACGACGAAACACAACGTTGTGATTATTTCACACCAATTTTTTTTTTGTGAGGTCGTGGTATTACTTCGGTCGGGCGACCCATTCCTACCGAAGCATGGTTCTCCCACATTTTATTTGTGAATGTAACTTCAAATTTTTTGATTTCCATTACTTATTTGTTTCCAGAAACTATAATCAAACGTTCTCATTTTTAAAACTTTTGAACGAACATTAACTGCATTATTTAGTTATTCGACCATGTTATCTTATTAATAAATCTCTTTCTATCACTTCAATCGAGTCTGTTGTTGGCAACAATATTATTTCTTGACATTTAGGCGTCTATTCAATTCATTACCTTTCAGTGCCGTAAGTATTGATGCTGACTGAACCTTTAATATCAAAATAATAATTGTATGATGGTAATATACTTAGCAAAACATTATTTTATAATGACAAACCTCGACCATACACTTGTCCAACTTGTTTGTTTATTTAATATCTTGTTATTTAACTATATATTTTTTGTAGTAGGTATCTAATTGCAATTATTTATGATAGTAAAAAGTCTCATTACAGACACAAACAACTTTTTTTTACGAGTATGTTGGTAGGTAGGTGGTGTCTACAGAGTTTTTTTACAAGGGCTTATAAAAACTGTTTTGTTAATCATCTTTGATATACATATATATGTAGATATATATTTCGAACTGAACTAGATTGATATTTTTTTATCATTAGAACATAATAATAGGAGTGTCACTGAGACTAGTTAGTTAGTAGATTTACAAATAATTTTTTAATAAATAATACATCATCACCTTCAACGGTTTATGAAGATCAAATAGCAGCCTGTCCTTGTTTGATAAAACAGTTGCGGTTGACTCCAAAACTATGTAGTTAGGAAGTGAACTAGTAAAAAGGTGTACCTAGGATGGCTTATAATGAATTGGTCTTTCTATAAAAACAAAGTACTTACACCTAACATAGACACGACAGTTTAAACAAGAATTATTTGTAAGGACAACGAACGTCTTAATATCTTGGCATACCTACGTATATTTTTAAATATTTTTTTCAGATATTGGTAAAAAGTCGTCGTGAAAATTGAAAATTGTTATATTCATTATGGTAGTCGTAGTTTTTAAGATTATTAAGGAATTGTTTATTAATGGGAATGGAAGACATCGTGATTCCTCAATATATAGGTACCTCGCTTATTCTTTGAAATTGTTAGTTTTAAATCCTCAGTCTGTATTGAGCAAGCGTTGCTGATTGATGCTTAGGCCATTATCGTGCAAGAAGCATTTGTTCAGTAGTCGGCACTCATAGGCTGTTAATGATGATTGGTAAAACATTATCAAAATAAGTCTTTAATCCCTATTTAATATTTTATTTTTTAACCTGTTTTACCTACTTTCCTTGTTTTTAATACACGTAAAGTTTGTGAAAACTAGTTATCTAATTACTTAGCATATAAAGAAAACCCTTTTAGAAATTTTCGATATAAAAGTTCCCTCTTTTTTATTAAAATATTTTTTCTTTTTGTGTTTATTAATTTAATATTCCATTATCCGTGTTTTGTCAACGTTGACAGAGGTTAACCTCGATACATACCTAATTTGAATTATATTTTCCTATATTATTATAATTAAATGTAAATATTTAATTATGTAAATTAAATGAGTCAGTCAGAACTTACATAAATAAACATCGATTGGAATATTTTAAAAAGGATTAAGCACAGTATGTTATAAGACAGTTTTGGGAGTTATTAAGTAAGGAAGAGCCATGCTTCAGCACGGAATGGGTCGGTTCGACCGGAGTGAGGTTATCACGGCTTCATAGAAAACCGGCGTGAAACTACCACAGGGTTGTGTTTCGCCGTGTGAGTGAGGTTACCGAAGGCCCAATCCACACCCCAAGAATAACAAAAGGCTAGCAACGCTTTCTTTTCGCTTTGATGGGGTTCATGGGCGGCCCCCATTGCTTGCCACCATGTAATCCGTTTGCCGTCATATCACATAAAAAATATAATGAAACTAATTCCCTTTAACACATAGCGTGTGACAACAAAGTACATAATTGCATTACTTGTGGGTTAAAGTGACAAGCAAATAGTCTATGTAGTACTTGTCAATTACTATGATTAGTTACTCACTGTTCTAAGTTTGCATGAATATATACCTAGTACTTAGGTAATTAGGTCTATAATTAAGTAAGATATGTTGCAACTGAATGACGTATCTATCTTCAATTATGATTTGCAACTGGTATAATTATACTGGGTCTTGTTTTATGCTAATAGGATTGGGAAACAAAAGAACAAGTTTTATATTGTGATATTACTAGTACTTACATTGTCAATGGCTTCCGTCTCGATGTAATTATTTTATTATTGACCAGGTTTTGCCCGCGCGTTCGCGTATAGTAGCGACTTCCTGCAGGTTTTTGGTATAAAACTATTCTAAACTAAATACTGTGTCCTTTCTCGAGTTCCAAACTATGTCTGTACCAAATTTCACAGATATCGGTTCAGTAGTTTAGGCGTGAAGAAAAGACAGACAGACAAACAGGGTTACTTTCGCATTTATAATATTATATTTTGGATTTGGATAGTTGGATGTATAGACTGCACGGTTGGCGTGGTTGCTAGGCAACCAGTAGCGTTTTCGAATGAGCCACGGTAATTTATGAGCACTCCACAAATTTTGTCCCCAAAGATGTGTAAGAAACTGTATATTTATAAACAAACACGAGATATAGAAGAGAAAAATAGAGTGTCAACTTTAAAACAGTTTGAAATAAAGTAATAAATACCTAAATAATGTAAAATAAAACAACATTTAGTTCACATCTGGACTCTAGAGATACCTATGTTTCGACGTGTGAGTGAAATTACTGAAACTCAATCCACCCCTATTTCCCATCTTTAAAAGGCCAAGACCTTCAAATCTAAGTGTCGTTAGTGTTCATAGGTGACGCACACCAAATGCTTAAGACCAGGGGTTCCGTCTGAAAGTCTAAAATAAATCGTAATTGGGTTCAATAGTTAATTTTTTTTTTCTAAATTCCAGTACTACCAATCCAGAAATGCCAGTTGTCTGATCCAGAATGTTTGAAGAAGTCTGCCCAGCTTGTCGTAGGACAATTTACAGCTGGAATCCCAGAGGTTGGCACCGAAGTTCTGGAACCAGTTCACATTGACATTATCAAGATCGACTTGTCTGGTCTGAAGCTAACAGTCAGAGATGCGGACATAAAAGGACTTAAGAACTCAGTGATTGACAAACTTAAGTGAGTTTTAAGGTCTTTCTACATAATTTACGCCAACAGAAAGTTAATTAAGGAGAAAATAAAGACATAATTATTATCATTTGCTGTGAAAGCCTAGTAGCCTCTGCTATTGCCATTTTCATATTTAATGACAAATTCTTTTAGATCAAATTGTTTTAAATAAAAACTAGTCGAGTATTTCCGCAGAAAAGTGGCAAAAGTAATAATAAACTTAAAAGGCAGCTTGTGGCGAGCCGTTGGGCAGTGGCGACCCCACGGACCTGACTCCCGGGAGGTGTCTTGTTCTTCTCTCTCCGGTTAGTCCTCGTGACGAACTGGAGTGAACACTGATGAAGAACAAGCCCTCCTACCTCATTCTTGCCTTAATTGGATGGCTTGAGTGGAGATTCGCAAGAGTAGGAGTTGAAGGAGACTCGGGGGAAGGATGTATCTCAGTAAGATGCTGGTAGGGGTCTTGACCGTACTTCCGGGATTGCTCTGATAGCCGTGGGATGCCTTTCCTTCCCCAAGCAGCTCAACGTATGTTGCCCTCGTGTCGCTACATGCTAGCGGCCGTTTCCGGGGGCCCATTAATTGAGTTTGCGATTCACCCCCTGCCTGTTTATCCGTATGTATCAATATTGGTCAGGGGCAGGGGCCATAGTATTTCCATAGTTATCATATTTACCAGTCCATAGCAACCCATACCCTATAAATTTTTACCACACTTCGCGACAGTCCTGCATCAACCGGGGATTGTCCTTGGGAGCACTTTCATAGTGCATGCAGGGATAATTGCCGGCTGATGTCCCATTTCACTTATATTAAAGTTGTTCAAAGGGCCTCTGCGAGTTGGCTTCGGACCCTCTTACGCCTTCTAAAAGTCCGGGACCCTGTGGTCCCGTGAGTGGAAAGGAACCTGAAAATTGATGTCCCATTTCACCTATATTAAAGTTGTTCAGAGGGCCTCTGCGAGTTGGCTTCGGACCCTCTTACGCCTTCCCTTCCCGTGAGTGGAAAGGAACCTAAATATACCTAAAAAATAAAACAATAATTTAATCATAGAGTTTCGATTCGTTTAAGGTCGTATTTATTATTTTGATGTTGCAATGTAAATTATCAAAGGTATAACAAGACGTTTGGCTGCTACGTTAACACTAACATGGCCATTTATCTGCTACAATACATAAGATGCCCCATTTTAACATTCTATTGTATTTAATTTTTTATTCCTTCCATTGTGTATTTTAAGCATATGAAAATATTTTCGATTTCAGAGTGGACACAGCGAAGAAAGTTATCGAATTGACTTATCATGTAGCTCCCATTACGTTAAAGGGCAAGTACAAGGCAGGTGGCATGTTGCTCATCCTACCCATCAGTGGAGATGGAGATGTTACTATCAAAATCAGTAAGTATTATAAGGTACTTTGGATAAGCCTTTCCCTTTACCACTAGCAATCGATGTAGAATGTAACATACAGGAAAGAGGAAAAAAAAATCAAATCTGAGGATGATAAAATTTAACTAAAAATCGCGGGTTACTCACGTGTATAAATTGAGAAAAGCTCTACTAGTTTCGCGAGCGAGAGTAGGCTGCGCGACATCGCCGCGTCCGCGCACGCTGTTCATGAGGAAGAACCCCTCTGTGGTTCGAAACTAGTAGAGCTTTTCTCAATATATACACGTGAGGAACCCGCGATTTTTAGTTAATTTAGTATGTCTCACGATAGTTATTATAAAAACATGATAAAATTTGATCTAAGTCCTCAAAGACGATTTTTGGCCGAAAGGTGTTATGTACCGCCGGTTTCGTGGCCAGCTACGTGATACCAGTCAGCGAAACACGACGCCGACACTTTGTGTACATTGATAAAATAATAAATAGTCAATTAGTTAATTATGTAATATATGTATATTTATAATATTGTTAAGTTTTATTTAATATAGTATTGTTTATGTTTATATGGGCCTTCGATGGATGAATGAATGCATCAATAAAAAAAAATTGGGACTAGTAAAAGGGTGGAACTGGGACCAATAAAAGTGTAAATATGGAAATGATAAAAAAATTTGCTGTCTCCAAATAACTAATAGAGTATTGATATAGAGATTGTATGAAATAAATTACGTATCTCTTCAGTATAATTATAATTTTCATTTTTTTCCTTTATTTTACCAGAAAATCTCGGCGTCACTCTAACCATGCCATACGACATTGTTAAAAATGAGCAAGGCAAAGACGTCATCGAGTTGAAGAGTTACAAATATACTTATGAGAACAATGAAAACACTCACTTTAAACTAACCAACTTGTTCAATGGAAACAAACAATTGAGTAAGTATTGCTTATCAGAGTTTAATTCACTTGCTATAACATTTCAATCGAAAAAAAAAAAATGAAAAAAATGTCGTGGTGAGGGTATGGAAACCTGGCAAGTACCAATGTGACTTTTTCCGAGTTATATGTACTTTCTATGATTATTTAGACAACATCGTGAGGAAACCTGGACTTATTTTATAATTATACGTTAAATCGCCAATCCTCAAACGTTCTTCGTGTAAGAAGAGTCTTACACGAATCTCAAACGTTCAATCCTCAAACGTTCTTCGTGTAAGAGTCTTACACGAAGAACGTTTGAGGATTGGCGATTGGTGGCTGAGTAACTATGAGTGATTGAGTAAAGGCCTCTGCCTTTACTCAATCACTCATAGTTACGGTGGGCACTTACAGGCTGATGATTAATTTGTAAAATTTAAATATCTTTGTGATTGTTTTCAGGCGACGCTATGCTGACATTCATGAATGAAAACTGGAAAGCGATTTCTCAAGAATTTGGCAACCCTATGCTGGACAAACCAGTGCAAAAGATTTACAACGCCATCAAAACTTACCTGAGATCACAACCCTTAGAAGAAATTGCCGTTGTTTAAATTGTTGCCAAAAATTAATTTATTGTTTTCTTTGACATTATGTGGTTAAGGATTTGATTACTGTTTTTTTAATAAAACATAATTTTTCCTTTGATTTCTTATTTGAAATTTACTCTTATCTCGGTGCTGGCTAATTCTTTCTAAAAACTTTATCCTTTACTAGCTTCCGCCTGCGACTTCGCCTATATCCTATACCGGAGGGGATCCTATGCCTGTGCCAAATTTCATCCAGATCCGACCAGCCGTTTTAGTGTTATTGAGTAACAGTTAACCGAACATCCAAACATCGTAACTTTCGCATTTATAATATGAGTAAGATAAGATAGAGAACGTACCTAGCCAAAAACGAAAAACTACTATAGAAACACAATGCTGTGGTTGTTTCACGCCAGTTTTCTGTGAGGCCGTGATATCAAATCATTCTCACAGAAAATTGTCGCGACAACTACTACGTTGTTTTTCACCTTATGAGTAAGACAGAACCCCAAACCTTTATCTCTCCGATAGCAAACGAGCAGACGAATTACCTGATGGTAAGCAATCAGCGCCGCTCATGGACAACCGGATAAGGAGTTACGAGTGGGTTGCCGACCTTTTAGGGATTAGGGATTTAGAGATTTAGGGATTGGGGATTGATTGAGGGAGGGGATGGGATTGGGCCTCCGGTAACCTCACTCAAACGGCGGAACACAATGCTGTGGTTGTTTCACGTCGGTTTTCTGTGAGGCCGTGGTATCACTCCGGTTTAGCCGACCCATTCGTGCCGAAGCATGGCTCTACTACACTTCCACACATGGTGCAATGAGTGTCTCTGGAGTTGGTCTATTAGGAGGTCCCGGTGTCCCTTACAGGTGTTGATGGAGGCCACCGGATCCCACACTTCCTAGTCTATAATCGCCCAAACGCTAGGCGCGTTTTGAAGGTTTCCCCCTGTTAACAAAAAAAAAGTTGCAATGAATGTGCCTAGTCATCATAATTACTCTTATTATATTTTCGATGTGGCAAAACATTCAAGTTTAGAGAATTAAGAGAAAGAAGCCTTAATATTTTCGATGCACTATAATTATGAGTAAGAGCCTTTTGTTTTTTTAACTTCAATAATGCTTTAAAGCATTTACGTCCATTCTGACATATTATTATCTGCTATTAAAATCGGATAGGCAAATGCCTACATCAAATTTAAATGATGTAGCGAACGTGACGCGTCGCACTTGGGCATCTGCAACAACAGAGAAGCTAGGTTTATGTTTTTAAACGTTGCCCCACACTTGGATTTTCTTATGTGTCGTGGGTGCGTTTACAAACATAGGTACAATTCCACATGCACATCACACCCAGACCCGGAACAAAAATTTGTGGATAACAAAAAATTGTTCTGTGCAGGAATGTTGTTCAGTTGACCAACCGTGCAGTAATAGTTTCGCGGTTACACATTCATAATATTTCATATTTCTATAACGTAATGTAAATCTTATGTTTGGTATATCCTAAGCAAGTAGGCAGATGTTACAGTACCTACATAAGCTCGTAATGGCACTACGCATATAGTTAGCCTATAGTCTGTGGTATGCTTATGTCGGCACTCAGTTGTCTCTTGAGGACGATACTAGTCTAATGCGGTCAAGTCCTGTTGATTGCTATTTACGCTTCAAGAGCTTAGAGCAACGCTCCATGGTATTAGAGTTGTGACGTTAATATTAATTCCCTTAAAACGAGTTATGGTCAGCTATTTAAAAAATAAAATATGTAATAGATGTTAAAATTACTCAGCTACTTAAAATGAAATATATAATAAATGAAAGTACCTCTTATTCATTATCTTTTTTATACAATAATGCCTAAATACGTTTTCTGAATATGCAATGAATAATAAAACAATTTGTAATTATATGAAAATGTTGTTTTTCTGTAACTAAATTATTTTACAAAAAGTAGGTACTACGTGACACTTTTTTTGTAGAAAAGTGGTCAAATGATTGTTTTGGATATAAAGTATTTATGTACAAAGAATAAAGAACAGCTATCGGAACATTCACCATAGTCCACAAATAGATTGTAATATTGGATTTGCTTGACGGAAAAAAACTCAGGTTAAAGTTTAAACTTAACCTTTTTATATACTGGCTGTTGCAAACTAGCATTAAGTTTTAAAAATAAAAAACAAGGTGTGGCTAGCCCTATTAATAGACAGGATAATTTTCTAGATAAACTATTAAATAATTAAATGTTATTATACAGATGACCGATAAACGTTAATTTTATTTTACTACATTGTTCTTGAAGTTGTCCTATGTGATTAAAATTGCGTGATACCTATGTATGAAAAGTTACACTTTGTATACTTATGGTTTTTAAATAGTTTCAGGCATTATTTTCCTGAAGATTTTATCGGAATAGAATATTTTATGCTAGGCTTTTACTCGTACTTCGAAGATGTGACCTCACGAGTCCAGCTTTAGTTCAGGTTATGATACAGAGCGAGAGGAATTGGGAAGATGCGCCCTCTTCCTCCTTTCGCAAAGTATGACGCATAACACGTGAGGGAACTACCCTCCAGTCGTCGCAGTCGGAGACGATCTAATGTACACGCTGAGCAAAAGTAGCTCGTCACCCGATTGGAAGAAGATCCAAGCTGACGGTGCGTGCGGGTCGCGTTCTTCATAGGCTGTCAGACCACTAGAGATGAGGCCTAATAGGGCCTATATCAGCTTACGTACGGGATGTAAGGTCTATAACGTATAGCGGCTCCGGCCTGGCCCAGAAGAAGGAACGGGTTGGTTTGAAGTCTGTAAATAAGAGTCTGACACACTCTCTCGCCCCACTTAGGGAAGGGAAAAACCATTTGATAATTTTCTCTTTCAAAAAGAGGCTAGATTACTTACAGTAAAGATGCAGATATTTATTTAAATTCATTATATTATCTTTATTAAATTTGATTTTATTTAATATTTATTAGATATCGAATATTTATCACTCTAATTGTTAAAAAGTGCATTACAATATCCGCCATACATACATAATAAGGGCCTATACATATTATTAAGTACGTGGGAATAATTATCATATTTATTTAGTTCTACTTGGCAAGTTCTGAAAATCAGTCTATCATTTGTTCATCTGACAAACAAACATCCTCTTCGTCTTCTAATATTACTTTAAAATAATTATACTTAAGTGTTACTCTGTCTACTAATAAATAATAATGATTTAGGTACAGACCGACTCAAGCAGTTTGACCTTTGCCCTACAATAAAATTGAAACAAAGTGTATAATTAAGTTACATAGTTATCATATCACTTACGCTGTTACCATGACTGTTTAAAAGAAAAGGAACCGCAGTTTTTTTTACAAAAAAATCTAAGAACAATACACTCAATCATATTTGCTTGTAAACAATTTATAACATACCTACTTCAAATACAAAAAGTTATAAACATCCATCCACCGATACTTTGAAAATTTCTCGTTTTCATTACATTATTAATAAAATAATTGATTAAAAAATTTTGTTTTTCTTAATTGATCTATATAGGTTCATATATACGCATACCATACCATATCATAAATAGATACGTATTTTACTCGTATATCATTTTTGGTATTAATTTGGATCTTCAAAAAATGGTTTCTTGTCTACGACACCATTCCAAAAATCCCAAAATACAATTTAATTTAAAAGAAGACTTTAATTTGTTAAGTACTTATGATGTAAAATTCGATACGTAATTGGAATCAATCAACTCAATCACGTCGCGTGACCACATTCGTTCGACTTAAATTTACTATCAAATTTGTATCATTAAAGTATAGTATTTAATTAAGTATAGTATAGTATTTTTGTTGCTTTTATTTGTCGTCAGTTGTTTTTTCCCCTATTGCTTATAAACTTATAAGTAATACCAAAGGTACGACAAACTTTGCAAAGTAATCATATTGTGATAAAACCAAAATGTTTTTGTCTATTCTAAATGAGAAACTATTTTCACGTATTTATTTATTAAAAACTTAATTGGCACCATAAACATGTATTGCTTGTGGCCTTGTCTCCGAATTTTCCAAAAAATAATATTTTTTCGATACTCTTTACTTAATCAAGAGTCCTTGCTCGACAGTCGATCTAAGGGTCATTCGCCTAAATGGTTTGTTTTGTAATAAATAATACTAAAACACGTTTAAAATAGAGTGCCGGAAATATAAGAACTTTGTAACTTCAAGTTCATCTTAACTGGGGCTTTAATTTACATAAGTTGACCTAATTTATACAAGTATTTGTTTGTAGGGAAATATAGTATAATATTTTCTTGGTGTGGTAGAAAGACAAGAATCGTAAGTTGAATAACCTTAGGTATTTTATCATCAAACTAATAAGTATTAGCTACGGTAAAATTGCCGCACCGTAGTCTTGTAGTTTAGGTCTACTTTTAATATTTTTATATACACTATCAATATGAGTATCACACGAAAAACTATTAAAAAGTGCATGTGAGGTAAGTATATAATAATTGTCCCAACTGTTACTCTTCCAGCGACGAAAGGACGTTACACATATCAGAAAGTAACGCCCTAAAAATCTAAATCTTCTTAAACTAAAATCTGCATCATGTCTGCAATGTGTGGAGTTAGTTTATCGGCGTGTACTGTCACAGGCTTTTGAAACTGTGTTTAAGTATCTAAGAAGACCTAAATCTATTTTAAATAATTTACTGTGAATAAAGTGAGACACCAAATTACCCTGATCTTATTGAAATATGAAATACCCTTTTTTTTTTGTCAGGGGAAAATCATCCAATGACTTCTCCCGCCCAGGGTAAGGCGAGAGAGAGTGTCAGACTCTTACTGACTAAAAACCCCCCGTTCCTTCTCCTGCTCTGGGCCGAGGTCGCGGTGCGTCATTGCGCTTACCCCGCAGCCCCGGCTAAACATCAGCCCTTTAGGGCCCCGACTGTGGTGGTCTATTGGCTCTTTGAGGCGCGCGCGGAACGCTACGCGCCGTACGCTTGGATCCGGTTCTGGTCGGGCGGCGAGCTACCCTTACTCGCCGTCTGCAAACTCGCGCTTACGGTGGCCGGAGATCATCTCTCGATCCCCGACGTCCGGAATGTCGCCTTCTGCGGCGGCTGGGGCGCGAGGAGGATAGTTCCCTCACGCGCTCCGCCTCCTCCTTTGCGAGCATAACTGCTTCGCAGAAGGAGGAGATAGCTTCCCAGTTCCTCTCACTCTGCACCATGGCCTCGATTAAGGCCGGGCGCGAGAGGTCGCCGCCGCCGATCACTTCCCTGAGAACATGGCGGTGCTCAGCCCAAGCAGGGCACTCCGCCTCCGTATGCTCCACCATGTCCTCCAGGTGATCCTCACAATGACGACACTCGGGCGTTTCCTCCCGCTGGATCCGAAACAGAAACCTACCAAAGCTGCCGTGCCCGGTAAGCACCTGCGTCAGGCGGAAGGTGAGGACGCCGTGGCGTCTCTCAAGCCACTCCTCAAAGAGGGGTCTTACCGCTGCTATAGTAGCGTGCCCGGAAATATGAAATACCCTGACTTTAATATTTCGATTTTTCGAGAACGCTCGTGGCGAGAGTATCGCAATAAGGTCCTGCGACCTCGGCCTAAAGCAGGAGAAGGAACGGGAAGTTTTTAGTCAGTAAGAGTCTGGCACGCTATCTCACAAAAATGGTCATATTGAAACTGGGAATTGATTCCAATCTGTTGCGATACCCAGAGATATCTTTCTGCGAAGATGTCGTGGTTACTAGGGAGACTGTGGAAAGCAAGAAAAAGGAGGTTAACAAACGCTCCAAGGCAGAAGTGCGTATATTTTGAATAAGTCGCAAACAACCACAATTATATCCGCACGAAGATATGACACCCGAAACAACAAGGTGTTGCAAGTTCGTGACGTTGCCGACATTTTGGGGTTAAGGATTATAGAGGATTGTGATTATTTGGGATAGTTTGGAAAATTGGGTCCAACCGGGCTACTGCGATCGACCACAGGAAAGACCTTTACCTCACTCATTTCTGCATCTTGAGGCACTACCGCCATGTGTACGGCGAATTTGTAATAAGCGTCTTAATATTTACTGACAGAAATATAATAATTTTACGTTTAACTAACACAACAAAACAAATAAGTATAAAATTTGTTATATTCTAAAAATTTTATGCAAAATACTTGTTTTTCATTTCTTTTACCGAAAAACGATGATTCGACAATGGAAAATTATAATAACACTACAGACACAAATGAATGATGGTCATTTAACATGAACCTTAGTTAAATGTAACCTTTATCATTTTTAGTTGCTAAGGTTAATATATTTTTATCCGTTGATAGTACGTCAACATATAAAAATTGATGCATTAAGTGGTCATTTTGCTGCACTGCACTGCACCGCAGTAATTTGAGTATTTTTTCCCATAAGGCATTCATTGTGGCAGGCTACGACGATAGTCTTCGTAATAACGAAGAAGTCTGTGCTTTCTTTTCGTAAAAGATTTATAGCAAAACAATATAGATTCTGCCAGCGGCTTTGATTGCGAGGTAACTTACTCACTCACAACGCTGTGGTTATTTCACGCCGTGTTTCTATAAGGCCATGGTATCACTTCGATCGAGCCTGCTCATTCGTGCCTAAGCATGCCTCTCCCAAACTTATTTAGTTCCTAGAAGCAAAAACATAATATTTAAGGAAACACCATTTCTTCTGCAATTTTTCTTTCCATCAACCTTTACATAATTATGATGACCAGTAATAAATAATAGGCTTTTTTTATAATTGCAATACTATTTAATTTATGTTCATATATAATTATGTCCGCGGTTGACGTTTTGGTATATTAACGCTTCTCTTCAAGTTCACGATCAGTTCTTGGTTGGCTGTAGGGAAGTTTATACCAAAGTAACTATGTTTAAAATAACTTTTTTGACTGTTTTGGTGTTTGCTTGGGTCCAATCAGCCGGTAAGTTGACTTTGTTTATTTATACTTTTTTGTATATTAATTAAATTTTATTAGAAAGGCGTTTGTGACTAGAAGTGAAACAGTAGTTGGTAGGGCTAATTTATTACTTTTTTATTTTTAAGAGTTAGGAAATATTTGTTGCCAATATTGGAATCCTTTACGTTGGAATACATAAAAAATGATAACAAGTTAGTTGATTTACTAACAGACGATACCATAATCGTTCTTGTTATTTCTAAAAATTAACCATTGTACTCAGTCATTTAATGATTACTTAACCCACATTATAGAATAGAATAGAATAGTTTAAGTAATAAAAAATTGCTCATGAGTGAGAAAATCGTTGATGAGTTTGATTTGTTAAATTATGATGTGGCTGTACAAAGTATTGCATTCTGTAGACATAATATGTATATTGTTTTTAATAATTTACTCAATAAAATATTAAATGATTTTATTTAAATCATTTAGCCTTTGAGGATAACGGTGAAGTCAACGTTTTATATGACCAAGTTCCCGAAAAAATATTTTTAACAAGAATTTTGCTCTTACCCTCCATTCGCTTAAATAGCTATTAAGTCTTTTAAAACTAATTAGCATACCGTTTAAAGTCCCATTTATGTTAATAATTATTTTTTATTTTATTACGCCTACGAAATATTTTTATGCAAAAAAGTATTTTAGGATTATTTGAAGTGTTCCTTTTGTTTATATTGGGCCAAAGTGTAATGGGTAATAATAATAATAAGAGTTTTGCCATAACGTCTCACGTTTCAAAAAAATATGAAACAGACTTTGTAACTAGTACCTACGATACTTTATAGGGTAATAATGTAGAAATAATGACTATAATACTAGTAGAAGATGTAGTTTCAAGCGAAAAGTGTATACTCCTTTTGGGATAAGATTCATGTCAGTTCTTTTTTTGGTCTCAGGGCTGTTGCTTAGCTCGTGTCGTCTCACAATAATCACTTAAACAGATTATGCTTATAGCTTATTCCAATAAAACAAACTTATAATAATGGCTTAATTGTGTTCGGCCGGGGTTGCGGAGCAAGCGCAATAAGTCACCGCTGCCTCTGCCTAAAGCAGGAGAAGGAACGGGGGCGTTTTTAGTCAGAAGATTACTCTCTCCGGCCCGACCTTGGGCGGGAAAAGTCATTTGATGATTTTTCCCTCACAAAAAAGGCTTCATTGTGTTATTTCGGCTAAATATTTCCCTGCCTCTGGATTTGGTTAGATAACATGTCATTTATAAGCTGATGTCGTATTGTCAATATAAACAATTATGTCCTTCTTATCTTCTTTGTACGGTCGTTCCACTGTCAGTAAAATTTGAAGACTTGACTTTGTCGATACATTTATTACCTGTACGATTCTTCCTAAATAATATATGTATACCTCTATGTGATTTAGCTGGATCAATGAGTATCGGTACCGATCTTACCCTAAGCAGAATTTCAAGGCAGGTCCAATCCAATTCTATCAGTTCTGGTATCATGAGAGATTGTGAGTAATGCTCAATCTACTGATTAGTAACTTGTCAGACCGATACCAGATGAATCAAATTGGTAGAGATTTGTTTTTTTTATGAACATAGATATTTATAAGCGGTGGATGTAGATACAGATATAAGCTGTTGTAACTTTTGGAGAGCCTATACATTTACTTTTAAAGCATGCATTTGTGGTAGGAATTTCTGTTGTGTAGGGATGTTTAACAAATCAAGGTCCGGTAAACAGATGTCGACAATTTCTTTCTGCGATTGTTTTAATTGTGTCACTAGGTCGTGAGACCTCATTTGGTACCAATCCCCTCTAGCCAGTTCATTATTGATAATCAAATCGCGTAAGCAACGAAACAATTGCATGGAGATCTTTGAAGGTCATAGATGACTCATGTGTTCTAAAGCCATAATGAGTATTAAGAAAATTGGCTAGAGACAGGGTTCATATTCAAAAAGTTATTTTTGATTTTCAATAGACATAGGCGTAATAAAATTTCCCTAAAACCGGTTTGAAGACTATGAAATAACTAAAAAATTGTCGATAAAATGGACCATTACAACATTACGATGTGGTAGGCACATACGTCGTTTTAAAACGTGTTCTGATAGTGTAATTATGTTGCGTTACATTATTATCAGTTCATTGCGATGAATGTGTAAATCTGATTTTGATTGACAAAATGCAATTTGAGATCCAGTTTTTGATTAATTAAAGTCGCATTTTCAATAATTACTTACTTATCACTAATCAGTCATGATGATTGAATCGTGAGCGAGCCTAGCAGTGCAGTTTCTCATTAGAGAAAATGCGTGATAATAGCTTCATTGACGGGTTGGACATGGCTAGCTGAAGGTTCAAGAATCAAAATCGCTGTTGCTTCGTCTTTTATATGGAATAGGGCCGTAAAAGGGTTACCTTTTCTCCTGAAGTTAAGCATACAACGCAGCCCATCGGTGTCCACAACACAAACGAGTTATAAATGCATGGCCAGTATTTTTAAGGGCTAGGGAATTGATGATTTGTCTTTCAGAAATATCAGTAGTAGTAGTAGTTGTTTCAGCAGGAGAAGAAACAGGGTGGTTTTTAGTCAGTAAGAGTCTGACACTCCCAGGGTCGGTCGGGAGAAGTCATTTGATGACTTCCACTCACAAAAAAAACCTCATGACACTTGGCTGACACGGAAAATTAGTATGCAAGTAAAATAAAATGAAATAGAAGATGAAGTGTATTACTGAGCATTCGTTTTGTTCTACCTCTTTACCATGTCAGGATAGGCAATTTTACAACGTCTGAATGACGTATCCGCAAATTAAAAATAAAGCAACAATAGAACTAAGCCTTGTTAACAAAGAAATTATTCATTGTTTTGTATGTTTTGCTTTTATAGCAAACAAAATTATACCTTCATTAGAATAAATAAGACACAAAGTTAAAAATATTTACTTTTTAAATTTCTCAGCATTATCATTATTTATTCGTCATATATGAGTACTGTATGTAAATAGTGATTTCATGCAAAACATTAAAAAGTAATGATATTGGTTGTCGTTGTAGCAATGACGATATTATTATAAGCTTTACAAATAATAAATAATTGTATGTAATTTATTGTATTTTTTTATCGATCTACAAGGTTAGTATCTACCTTGCTACCTACATAAACATCGACCAAATTTCAGACTAATAAATTATTTTTAACAGCTTACTCACGTAACAATTTGACAGGGTTTCTCGTCTAGTTTCAGGCCACGCTAAGGGTACATATCCAAGCGTGTTATACTCGTATAAGTAATTAATGAATGTCATCTGACGCACGAAAATTATAATACACAAATACCTACTATTAAATAAAAATAATTATATTGTTTGATGTTATAAAATCCTTTCTAAGTCATAATCATATTGGAAATATATATTTTAACAAATTCAAATCCAAGCTACTCTAAAAGCATTTTAACTAACGTGGTGGTCCAATTACGAGACTGAATATCGAACAATGCGTCCCAGAATCAACCGAAGGAATAATTAGGCCTATTCAAGAAATAATTAGCCTTTCGTTACTTTATTTCAAATAATCGTAATTCTATTTTTTTTTTATTAAATTTCTATTTTTTTTTCTCGTTCACAGAACTGCCCGTCGCAAAATGCAAGCTCGAAGACTCGGTCTGTCTAAAGACCTCTTTTCAAAAAATGATGCCCATATTCATGAGCGGTGTGCCAGATGCAAATGTTGAAGTTCTAGATCCTATGGTAATGGATGACCTGGCCTTCGATTTGGCTGGGTTACAGTTTACAATGACAGGAGGTGTCATGAGAGGATTAAAGAATTCTGTCGTGGATAGTGTGCAGTAAGTATTTGATAGAAAGAAAGAAATATTTATTCACATTTATTATTATTTTGGTTTGAATCAAGTATTTTATTTAGAGTATGAAAGAAAAGAAAGTCAGTTTCGTCAAATTTTTTTTATACTTTTGACGTTTAAAAGTTATGTTATATGGCCCACTAAGTTTTGCCCGTGATTTTGTTCGCGTAGAATAGTAACTTGATGCATATTTTTGGTTTAACAACTATCCTATATAACTATCCTTTATTAAATTCCAAACTATGTCTCTACCAAATTTTACACAAATAGGTTCAGTAGTTTAGGCGTGAAGAAAATACTGACAGACAGAGTTACTTTGGCAGTATTAATATTTTTTTAAATTTATTTATTTAAAACTTCATGCACAAAACACTTTTCAACTACAAACTTGTGACGCACAACCTCTTCACCAGTAGCTAAATGAGGGTCATACTATAGTATCTTATAAAATATAGTCTGTGGATCGTAGCTATGCTGCCTGATTCTCAGAGAAACCACTTAACTAAGAAGTATTATTAGTTTAATTATGTTTATCTATCTTTACTCATATTGTATTGTCTTTCTTCTCAGATGGGACACAAAGAAAAAGACCTTCGTTGTTGACTTCCATATGGACAACTCTGTAAAGGGTCACTATACTGCTAACGGACGTATTTTGATCCTTCCTATCACTGGTGACGGTCAGATTAAGATTAGACTGAGTAAGTTGTTATTCAAATCCGCTAGTAGCAAAATGAGCTTTAAGATAATGTAATCAAAACTTCAAATCGATGTATCTCCAGCGTTATTGTTTGCTGATTGGTTTATTTTTTACATTGATTGTAAATAAGTGAAATGCACTCCAGAAAAGAATGGGACTTGCTGTTTCACTGGCTGCTTACCGAAGACGAGGATGTTTAAAAATGGCTACGAATGTAAAGCCTAGAGAACACAATAGTATTATCGTAAAGTGAAGAAGCTAGTTGGTATACATTTTAAAATTTAAAAACATTGTTTTTTATCTTCAGAGCGTCTGCAGTTGAAAATCAAAATTTCGTACGACATCGTAGAAGGACTCGACGGAAAGGATATTATTAAGCCTAAAAAATACAGTTTTGACTTCGATGTACAAGAGGATGCTCATTACCAATTGACTAATTTGTTCAACGGCAATAAGGAGTTGAGTAAGTATATCCAGCCCTTTTGTTTTTTTTTGGTAGAATGTTTGGGTAGAATTATCGTTCAGCACTGATTCTTGATACTTTTACCTGAATGTTACCAATACGGGAAAAAAATCAAATCAAAATCCAGTACGGGATAACTGAGAATCTATCTTTTTTATGTCATCGGTCGGCAAACGAGCAGACGGATTACTTGGTGGTAAGCAAACAGCGTCGCCCATGGTCACTCGTAATACCAAAGGAGTTTGTATTAGTGCGTTTTTAGCGACTTAACGATAGGGGCTTTGAGGATTAGGGACTGGGAGGGAATTGGACCTCCGGTAACCTCACTCACACGGTGAAACACAAGGTAGATAAGTGTTGCCTCACGCCAGTTTTACGAGGCCGTGGTATCACTTCGATCTAGGCGAACCATTTGTGCCGTTACATTGCTCTCCTTCACGATAAAAAAAAACTCAACTTCGAAATTTAAAACAACCTAAATTGTAGAAACGAACGATCGTATCTTCTACCAACTTAGTTTACTTTTTAAAATTGAATTTCTTGCAAATATCAACAATCTATTCCATTAAATGTTTACAATAGATGCGACATTAATCTCTGTCCTGCATAATAGATGGCACCACATATTGCTTTACGCTGCTCCAATATTCGATTTAAATGTATGCATAAGCAAGCGAGCCATTTTTTCTTGTGGCTTTTTCATTATACTTTTAGTATGGAGATTTAACTCAAAGGCGCAATATTTGTAAAGCGATGTTTTTTTTTCATATTTGAAATATATTTTTTATTATTATATTGATTTATTTTCTTTTTTGACATTTTTGTATGACACTGAGACATTGACAATGTACTATCTAAGCTTATGTAAAAATGACTGACCGACTTTTATTTTATTAGCTAATTTTGATTTTATATAAACTGACTTTTGATGAATAATTTATTAGTCCCTATTTTTATAATCATAAAAAATATAATATTGAATTATTTTTAGAACTAGATACAAAAGAACATTTCTCATAAATAATAAACGATGTATTTGCATTTCAGGCGACACTATGCTGACCTTCTTGAACGAAAACTGGAAGCAGATCGCTGCTGAGTTTGGAAGACCTATGATTGATTTAGCGTCAAAGAGAATATTCAAGAATGTAGTTAACTTCTTCGAATCTAACCCAATAGAAGAGATCGCCAGTGTCTAAATCAAAGTATTTTCAGTGAAATAGTTTGAAAATAATTTATAAACTTTGTTGTTTGTTAGAAATATACGTAGTTTTATTTTATATTGGTTATCATGTGTTTGTTTAATTCCTCATTACATTTTAATATTAGTAGATATTATATTGTGTCAATTTTTGACTACACTTCGTAACGAGAAAATGTATAGTATATTTTAGTCTCTGAAGCAGTATTAGAAGTAGTACTAATGTTTTTTTTTTTATTTCAATTTTACTTAGTGCTTAGCCGTTTATATTTAATACCAATTCATTAATGGACGTCTTAAGAAAAAAAATAATAATACTTACCCATAATTTCTGGGAAAAATCCAACATATCATGTAGACTGCCGAATATAATGTTTGTGTAAGCTACCGACTAACAATTACCGAGGTTAGCTAAAGAGTCAACCTACATGCATTGAATCACTACGCTAATAATGAAAAAAATACATTCAAACATCCCGATTACACTGTCATGTCTATGTAGAAGGACCATCGACATTGAAGGGTTGACGTTTAACACGGGTGTTGCGGGTATTTTAATTATTTTTATATCCTACGGGAAAGCTATCAGGGATGAAAAACTCGTTAACTTTGGTCGAACGTTTCAATTGATTTTAAAGCCTATTAAGTTACATGTATGTATAATAAATATCCATATTTGATGTGTATTTTTGGCTTCGAGGTCATTATTTTACCTTTTAAAGTTAAAATGGTGGGTATAAAATCAATTTTAAAAATTGGAATGCTACTCTCTTGTTATATGGCCGGCTTATAGTGCTCCATTTATTTAAATAAAAAACTTAAATATTGTGTTTTTGAATAGTTGTTCCACTACCTTCATTATAAGTACCTATTTTTTAGTTGCTCATATTTGATCTAAATTACGTTCTAAATTCAAATTTATGATCTGGTAGATAGTGGGTATTCCGATATTGTGAATCGGTAGGAGTTTGGTAACAATGACAGGTTCGGTTGATAGTATGCATATCTTATGTTCAAAGTGAAAGATAATAGATGAAAAATTCATCTATGTTTTTTAAAAAACGAACTAAAAGAATTGCGACTCTAACATTCAGCCAGAATAAATATCCATCGACATTAATACTCGTGTAACAAAAAACCTGATGGCAAATGCCAAAAAAAGAAAATAAACATTGCTTTTTTTTAATCCGTGTTGAAATTTTCGGGACTTTTTTCGTCCCATTATTGTCCTGTTTCAATGACCATGTCGAAATGTATAAAGTAAACGGTTCGGAAACGGTCGGCTCGTTAAATTCGTTGATCATAACAGGGTTAAAGTACAAAATTCACGTGAGTAATCATTGAAGGTACCGTGTCACCTGTTCCACAATGTCTGTGTTAAGGCCTATTGACACTTATCGAGTTTGACTGATGAATTTACGTTGTTGAAGAGACATGTGTATCGGTGTTTGTGAAAACGATGTTCTGTTCTGTGTAGGAATGTTTTTAGTTCTCTGGTTTTGTTTTTAGTATCTAGTCTTAATAAATTGGATCCACGCTTTATTCCAATTAATAATTATTTAAAGTCTAATCAAGATGTCTTAAAAGTTAAAATTCTCAACTTTGGACCGGTCAATTAGAATTCGTTTCACTATCTGAGAATAAATTTGAACATTACGAACTAGGATACTCCTATTCCACCATTTCAAGAGTTGAGATTTCGGTATAAAATAATAATAATAATAAATCTTTTTTTAGGAATTTACACTCCAATGAACAAACGAAAGGAACAAAAATATCAAGCTTAAAATTAAAAAGGAAACAAAAAACTTAATACAAAAACGAAAACAAATACAACTGTAACCACTTCTTACACGCAGTAGTATTCAGTCTTTCGGTCCTCAATAAACTTCCAACAAAAAAGTAAAGGAAAGAATTGCCCTTAACAGCCCTCAGGATGTTTATATCATTTTTTCCAGCCAGACGCCCATTGATACGACTGCAGTATTAATATTTTATTTTGACGCAGTTGGTGTACACGGACGGACATCGCCTTACAGTGTTCCCCTTAATTTTTTATCGTGTGTACCCTACTGAGTTTTTTGGCGAGCGTTTGTTGGCACTAAATTATGTGGAGGGGGTTAAAGATTTTGTTTATGAAAGTTAAGTTCTGTCGGCTTGTAGCTCAAGTGTTAAATTTTTATGTAAGGTTTTTTGTTATATACTTTTTTTATACCCAACTTTGTAATTGTTGGCAGTTATAGACACGGATATAATAAAATTGATGATTTTTATTATATCCTAATATATACCTAATATATATACCAATTCACTAATGCAAAACCTTTCTAGTCTACCATCAGACGGTCTGTTGGTACTTAGCTGTTACTTTTAATAATTACTTAACGACTAATGAACCAAATCAACTTACCATAAAGGTATTAGGTTTAGAAGCTACGGTTTTTATAATAAATCAATGCAATAAATACATCGCTGAAAAATGTATTAAGAGGCTACATCAAATGGAAATGTATACCCAATTGACCTTAACTCGATGTATTTCATCAGAAACCTTCCAATTCCAGATTCAAGTATACGAAGTGCGTGCATTTAAGACTATTCGATTTTCTTACGTAGTTCGTTACAAGTACGATCTAGGTAATAAAAGCGTGTTAATGAGGCGTATTTATTTTTAAATCCAAACCCGTCTGAATGATACAACTTAGTACATTATTACATCATGCAAAGGCCTCTTTTTACACGGAGAAGGTTTGAACATTAATCACCACGCTTGCTCAAGGCGGATTGATGATTTCATACTTGTAAGTAGAAATTATGAGAACGAGTTTCCTCACGATGTTTTCCTTCACCATTTGTTAGAAGTATGTAATTAAAGTTTAAACTTAGAAAGCAAATAATAAGTAACTAGGAAGAAGTGACATTGGTACTTGAATGGTTACGAACCGTCGAAGTTACCACGACAGACCAAATAAATAACGAATTTGAAATAAGCATTTGTAACAAACATACAAAATAAACTCTTAACACATGATAATACATTCGACTGTAACCCAAACACAACAAATTGGTGTACGCAAATTGATTAAGAAGTTCGAGGAACAATTAGCCAAGTCAGCCGAAATCTAGCGGACTTCAGTCGAGTTTCAACCACTGGGCAATAAGGAGTATGTCTTGTCTCGTCAAGTCAATGTCCCAGGCCCCTATTCTACTGATGTAACAGACGTTGATTAATTCGCTCTACCTACCTTGAAGCCTGTCGCTAATTAGGGCAGATAAGGTTATCATTACAACTTGGGAATTGACAAGGGTTTCGAATAATGATATGGTTTAACACGTTCCTGTATGGTTTGTGAAGGCTACTTATTATGATGTTGTGATGTTAGGATGGTACGAATCAAACAGGCTCTTTCGTTTTGATCTAAAAACGAGTTTGTTTGTTGCTTGATCGCGCGAATCACCGGAACTACTGGTTCGAATGTAACAATTTCTTACCTTTTGATTCTCTCCACTTTTATTTTGAGGTGGGTCGGTAATCGAGCAGATGGATTAATAATATTAATAATAATAATACCTAATGGTAAGCAATCGGCGCCGCCCAGAGACACCCATCATACTAAAGAAGTTACGAGTGAGAGAGGAGAGCGAGAGAGGATAAGGGTGTCGGATATTTAAGGATTGGGAAGGGATGGAGTAGGTTGAGATATTAGGCCTCGAGTAACCTCATTCACACGGCAAAATACAACGTTGTGATTGTTTCACTCCGGTTTTGTGAGGTCGTGGTATCACTCCGGTCAAGCCGACCCATTCATGCCGAAGCTTGTCTCTCTTACACTTATTATTTTGTCAACAAAGGCTAATAGAATTAAGAAAAAATAGGCTCTACAAACATAACGCTGCGACCAATGTGACCAGCCGCGGTTAAAACAGCGTGGAAGTAGCTAGTTATTTATATACCGCATTGGCATTGATTGGGCAATCAAGCAACCAATAATCATTAATTCAATAGAATAACAAGAACTTTTCCAAAAAGTTAACAAAATAAACAAATGAAGCGACATTTTAATGAGTTGATGCGACATTCCGTTTTATTGGTGTTTAAAATTAGATTAGAAATCGAAATTTTAAATTTGGAATGATTCAGACCACGACTGCGATTTGTCGCACGACTTTTGAGCGGTGACTTCGTATGGCTTACTGACATGTAATATGACATTTCACGCCTATATGTAGAGGCTTTAAGGCTTATTGGACGTAACCGATTTTAATAGCGTACGTGTCGTGACAGACACAATCGGATCCCGATTTTTCAGTCCAGTGACCACACGTTTTAGCACACTTGTCCTGCATTAATGCCTGTCCAGTGGGCCGATTTATCCTTTTCTTCCAACAAGTGCTTACAATACCCGAGGTGGATAAAATTGGAATCGGTTAAGTATATTACTAGAAATGTCGTCTAGCATATTGTATATTTTAAAACATACGGCTAGTAAACAAAATTGTATCATTTTTGAAATATTCAATATAATACGTGAATATATTTTCTCTTGATTAACAAACTATAACATGTTTTTTGTACCATAGATTTTTTTTTTATTTGGGACAAACGTACTTCTAGTCTTCGTAAAAACGTTAGCCTATCCCTGCTCCGTTCATTTCATACAAAATAATGAAACGAATTCTCAAACAATTTGTTAAAAAGTTAAACGCAGCGAGAAAAGCCAATAAGTTTAACAATCAAATGTTTTACTGTTGTTTTATGATTTGTTTAAAATTCATTGCTTGTAAAGTGTTTAAATACTTCTAACTTTACGAGTAATTGCCTTCGTTAAAGCGACGATAAATGGTTCTTTATTAATATAGCTAGTCTTGATGATCAGTGATCAAGTGGTCCATCAATTGGACGCTTTTCACTTGCATTTCTTGTGAGATGACACACAACGTGTACCACGTTTCAATTGTAGGCCAGGTTCATTCGTGCCGAAGCATGGCTCTCCCACACTTAAAATTAATATAATAAATTCACGTTACAACAAACGTTTTTAAGCATTATTATTAA